CGAGGCGCTCGGGCGAGCGCAGTCCTTGCACGCGGCCCAGGCGGGAGCCGAGCCCCGGCGGCAGGGCTGGGAGCCGGCTCTCCTCGCCGCCTGCGGGAGAAACGGCTCGGCCCAGCCTGACTCTAGTGGTTAACCCAGAAGAGGGAGTCTCTCCCTTTCTTTCTCTCTCTCTCTCTCTCGTTCAGGATGGTGCAGCCTAACACCCTTGGGCTCCAGATACGCACGAAAACACACATAACAAACCCTATATTTTTTACGCTTCTTAGCAGAGGAACAATACACTGGTTATGGGATTTATGTGGGTAATGACGGACGCCTAGTGCACGCTGTCTGGCTTTGCGCGCTCAGGCCTGGCAAGCTGAGTGAAGCTGAGAGATTCCGCACGGAAGGAAGCGTCTGCTTAAGTTTTGAGCTCTGGTTTTAAAAAACAAGAAGTGAAGGAAGGCCCGCGTAGGGAAAGGATAACACAAGTGTAAACACCCGCCAACAGGGTTATAGCAAAATGCAAACCTGGTCACAAACATGATTCCATCAGTAAACAGAGCTATTAAAACAAAGCAACAATTATTTATAGAAATGTCTATGGCGACTTTATCCTATTTATCAAGACGTGAAGTCAGAACCCCGAAATGCAGTTTCCTGGGACTTTAAAAAAGGTTTAGACGCATCATTTTGCATTTCCATTAAAGTTTAACAGTACCTGGCTAAAACTACAATCGATCAATTTTATGTTAAGTAGTAAAACAAGAAGTCGTGTGGCATTTTAATACCCAAATCGAGTTATTCTCATAACAGAGGCTACAAGCACATGATGCGTGCTCGTAACTTTGAAGTGTACACTATATATACGGCACATTTGTATTACTCTTTTGCATAGCCAGGATTGGCTATAGCTGGCTGTTCCGGTTATATGGCTGGCTTGGCCTATTTGTTCCTTAATATAAAGCCAATATTCAGCTAGAGAATTTAGATCACTTATTGTGTACGTCTTTCTGGGTGGAGATGATGAAAAGTGACAAATGATGCAATTAGTCTCCCTCCTTACATAACATGTTTAGGTCAGCATTTTAAACCCCACACAGGCCCTGGGCTTCACCAGATCTGAACTTCCCAGTCTATCCTCAGTCACGACTGGCTGGGACATTCCCGAGTCCTGGCCGCCTTGACCGGAGGGCACGAAAGAGACAGACGTTAGGAATTAGGAATTTGTTACTTACAAAGACACTGAGTGTGACTTCCCAATAAAGCTGTTTCCTCATCCCTCCTTAAAACACTTCATCTCTACATACTCGTTATCCATTAATCCTGACACTTCTCAGTCAAGGGAGAAAACATCTGGAACAGTTTATCAATTAGAAATGTTATCACCAGTTTGCCTAAGCTAATTTAAAATATTGTGATGGTTTCTTGTCAAACGCTAATGGCTCTATTCGGCCCTTCCTTGAGGGACTCTCTCGCTCCTGCTCGCTTTGAAATAAATGAAAAAGTGGCCCTCGGTGTCTCTCATTATAGTAGGTGAAGTTAGCATTTTCTCTCCTAGAATTTGTTGTGTACCTCGGAGGCGTCTCCGTGTGTGTGCAGGAGAGGGAGGGGGAGAAGAGCCGCGCGCATGACTTCAGGAAGGCGGAGAATTAGAAAAGAGGAGGGAGGACCTAGCCAAAACCAGCAAAGTTACACATTTCTTGCAGAATGTTTTGAAAACTTGCACGCCTGCTCATGAAGCCCTTTGGCACTTGGAGCTTGTCTGACCAGCACTCCAATGATCACTTAGGTCCCATTCATCATGGCCTCAAGATGAGCCAACTTTTTGCCAGATAAAGCCTGGGCGAGTTCTTAAACTCCTCCCTTGTCAACAGCAGATACTGTAGGGCCCCTCTGCCCATATATCTGTTTATAATATAAACCACTTCTGCCATTGCAGGGGACTTCCTCTTCTGTCCCAGCGCTGGACCTCATGGACTGCCTTTCAAGAGGGTCTGCCGGGACAAGCATGACCGCTAACTCTGGGTTATGTCCTGCCCCAGAGAGCTCACAAGATGTGGGGGGACCAGGGCAGTGTTTTCGCTGGCTGGGGGCTGTTTATAAACGGGGACTGGCACGTGAAGAGCCATACTGCTGCTTTCCTCCCATCTCCTTAGGGCCCAGGCCTCCAAGGGTGTGCAGGGAGAGCTGGGGCTTCGGCAGTGGCTAGAGCAGGAATCAGCCCCCAGAGGCTGAGTAGGGAGGTTCCCCTCTACTTCCCAGGGCTCTAAGCCGGACTCCCTCCTGGCTTGCAAGAATGCAATGGAAAGTTCACGTTTGCAGATGAAGTGGTTGCGGAATCTTTCTGCAGTCAAACCAGAGACTCAGCCTTCCCACTGGATTCTGATCGAGACACGAATAAGCTGATTTACCACGAGGCCAGAGGGGCAGGAGACAGCAGACGCTTAACCTGCCACAGAAGGAGATAGGGGCAGTTCTGCAGGCTTAAGAAAAATAAGATCCCGAATGAAGACCCTGGTGTGCGGCTGGGGGTGCAGAAGCCAGCCGGCTCCCACCTCGAGTGCAGTACGTTGGGAGTCGGCTGCGGACAAGAGCATTAGCTTTTTCTTTTAGACTTATGCTAACGATATGAAAAAAAGAATCCACGGGCAGAAGAATATATTTGCTAACGTATTACAGATCCGTGGTATTTTGTGTGATTTCCCCATAGGCCCCACGCCTCACCATGTACAGGAAAAGCAAATGGAGTTAACATTTGTAACCATAAACAGCCAAGGCATTTTAGCTTTCTTAATTTCGCTTAGAATCAATGTAGCTTCAGTTTTTTATGCAATGAGGGGAGGGGGGGGACTGAAAAAAAAACACAAAAAAACCTCATCTCATCCCACACATTAAACTAACCATGTCTACCTGCCGTGGCTATGCGGGATCTTAAATAAACTATCCACTAGTTTGCAAAAAAACCTAGGGATCTAAGCAACAATATTTCCACTACTTGCACAACAGATTTACATCACTCTATTTCAGTTTAATCTTAGTGTAAACATACGCGAACAGGAACGCATTAACTAGGAAATGTAACTGTATTCTCCATGCATAATAACCTCTCCCTCGTGTGTTTGCCAGCTTCACCACGTAACCTACTGGACATTGGGACTGTGATATCTAAATTAGGGCCGCATTCTCCTCATACACACACTAAGTGCAACCGCGAGGAGTTTCTCTCATCCTGTTCACTGGGACTTGTCTGGCTGCATTTGGACGCAGACTCTGGCGTGTGGTTTTTTGTTAAGTCATCCACATTTCTCTAGACGATTCAATTCTCTGTTAAGTAGCTAGAAACTTCTGAGTTGCCTCTATGAATTATACTCTGTGACAGAAATGAGAGTAGGGAACTAGAATGCTCATATAACAGATTTAAAAGATAACCTTTAAATTTCAAATCTCAGGGCTCGAGCAGGTCAATAAGGATTATTCTTGATCTTGAAAATCCTAACGGCAGTGTTTACTATGGAAATGGGAAGGTCAAGAAATGCAAGCACAGTTTACAAAAAAAAGGCACCATTATCTATCCTTTAACCATCAACCTCGCTTTTGGCTACACATATGAGAAGGCTGAGCCTGAAGAGGAAGCAATCTGTTTGAAATAAGCACTAAAACTAGCAACCGATTCAAATGGCATTGACCTGTAGCTATAATTGCAGCAAAATAATATTTTGATGCACCGCCAGAATAAACGCTGGGAACTGTTGCTTAGAGAGAAGTTTTAGGTATTTTTTTCCTAGAAAAAAAGGAAAGGTGGGGATTTAATCAAATTAGACTCTTTCTCTGCTGCTATTTCCTTTTGCCCTGTTAGTCAGACAAGTTTGCTTCGGGGTTCTAGAATAAGAGGAAAGTCAGAAGTCAAACCAGTAAGTGATGGCATTTTGTTTTCCCGCTCTTTAGGAACCAGGGGTACCCAAGATAAACCAAATCATATGCTTATTTTAAATAGAATATTCCATTCAAGACCTCAAGATTAAGGTATTCCTGTCAGATAAGATGTCAGTCACTAACTACTTAGACACCACATTGTGGAAGCTTGG